CCGTCCGATAAATCAAATTTCCCATTTGAAATAAATGACCTTAAAGATGCGAAGAAAGCTTTTAATTTCTACTGTGCTGAAGAGGTTCGCTAATTCTTTACTGCTTTTATATCATGTCGTAATATTTCTAGAAACCCCTCATTTTATTGCTATTAATCTAATTGAGAATAAAAAGATTACTTAAATTAAAAACGAGAGGGAAGGTATATCATTTTGCTGGTTTTGTAACTAATAGTAAGCTAGCCCTTTCTTATTAGCGAGGTATATGTACAAATATTTTTAATGTTAATATATTTTGTTGGTTATTTGCTAATCGTATTTCCAATTGAACACTTTTATCTTTCTTTAAACTTTTAGGCTCATTTGCTGCGTCTTCTGTAAGTTATTAATTATTTTTGCCAAGCTATGCATTATTAATATAATATTTCAGATAATTTTTATCGGAGACTAGTTTCATTATCTGAGCATCTAATGTAGAAATAACGGGAGTGAAAATCGTTTTCTTTCTTTTTTTTTTTTTTTTAATCATATAGATTGGCACATATTGTGTAGTATTAAAATTAATTTTTTCAAATGAAATATAAATTCAGCGCCCAACAATCTGAGTTGAGGCCTTTATATAGAGATATACTTGCATAAAATATTTGTATTTTATGAAATAGAATCAATATACACATTAAGGAAACTTTTGGTGGTTTTTTGTTAACTGCTGCCTGAAACTTCAGTTGACATCAAGATAATATTGGCAGTGCCTAGGTACTTCAGGGATACTAGATGGCTTCAGCTGGTGATCTAGTTACTGTTGACTTTACCTCATTTACTGTACCACATTAATGAAACTGACTCCCTCAGTTTCATTAATGTGGACTTTTCAAAGATAATTGTTACAATATGTGGCAATTGCATTCATTATGTACATTTTTATTTCAGAAAAGTTGAGGTGCTTATTACTTGCAGTAAAGAACTGTTATAAATGTGATCTGACTCATTCATATCAATAGTTTCTCGAATTTTTATCATCTAAGAACACTTCATAATGTTACATTTCTATAACGTGTCTTCATTAGGGGTAATGTAATATAACTTTATACCCTAGCATTCTATATACAGGTGGCCTTCGACTTTCACACATTTTTAAAAATTCATATTTTTGTTGATATTGCAAAAACTGTGGTTTCAAACTGAAGCCAATGTTAGTTTATTAAGCAGAAAATCCCTAAGCATTGAAAGGGAATGATTAAAGAATTTCTTCCAGTTATTTGGAAATCAAATAAAAAAAATTGTGAATGATTTTATAAATTCTGAAAAAAATTTCAAAAACTATCACAGATAAAATAGTTAGCCAAATGACTGGACTAAACTTGAATGTCAACAGTGAAGATGTTAATGAGTTCAATGGATCTCATTCGTTACCTCTGTTGAATGAATATTTAACTGAGCACCATGAGTTAAATGAAATATGCAATGACAGTGAGGAGAATGAAACTGATAAAATTGTCACGACTTTGACATTCAAAGTTATGATTAAAGCCTTCATATATCTTGACAAATTTTTGAGAATCATGGAAGAATGTAGTCCAAGTGGAAACATGCATCTCAAATATGTAGGGTGATTGAGAAAGACACTGCATGTTATAGAATTCTTTTTCAAGAAACGAAAAAAAGGGTTTTATTCAACTAACTCTTGATATGTTTATAAGGAAAGCGCCTGCAAATGCTAAAACATATCTCATTAACTTAATTATTTAATAAGAAAATATGAATTTTAATAGCAAGTTTCCTATTTCCTATTCCATCAAATAAAGTTCTTCAATTAGAAATGCTATGAGAGCATTAAAACTTATAGGTAATAAATATGCAAATTTTGCAGAAGCAATCTTTTTTTTCGCTCCTGAAAAAATACCTGTATATGACTGACTGTGTCTGAGTAAATAATATTATTGTATATATATTATAGTATAAAATTATTTGATGTTTTATTTTTTACATCTTTCTACCTTTAAACATTCAACATTTGTACACAAGCCAATTATGTGTGAAAGGGCCACCTATAACCCTTTTAAGATGCGTCCCATATATACATTCCCTAAGAACGCCTCTTACAACCAGGAGTCCCATCCACGCATCGCTAGAGATTGCATTCAGAGGACGGGTCATGCGTATACGAACTTTAGGCTGGAAAGTTTTTCTGAAGGCCACTAGATGGCATCCTATGTCCATCTTTTGAAATGAACACAGTTTTAGGTTCCTGACCTTGAGTTTGATATACAGTCAAAAGTCGTTAATTCGGACCTCAAAGCTACAAACTTTCTGCGCATAGGCGTTACGCGTGCATGTAAGACCTTTACAGCTGCGAATATGGCATTGCATGTGCAATAATACGTTGACGCATGAGGTTAATGTATAGCAGCGGTAAAGCTAAGCTAAAAGAATAATTCAGTTATTGGCAGATGCGTTGTTCCTTAATCTTGAATTGCATCCGGCTTATTATTTTTTGCAGACTGTTAGGCAATTTTAAAAAAGTAAGCTGAATTTTGATTAGTCAAATAGAATTTCCGATGTTGGGATCCCAAAGGATTTACAAAGCAGAAGTAAGTTTCGACGGCCATCAAACAAAAAGTTGGAATTGCTGCAAAAATGGATAAAGGCATATCCTTTGTTTATCTACCATTCGAATCTGTTATCAATTTCACGTGCTCTGCGGCAGGGGTTGGGGGAAATGCCGCGAGGCGCAATGAATTGGAAGTTGATCTGTCAGCACTATCTTTATCTTCAGGGCAGATGTTTTATTTATTTGGCTTATAATTCTTACTAAATGTAGTATTTCATCCGATGTACCTCTTGATATGATTTAAATCAAATCCTCGTCATTATAATCGCTTCCCGATAGCGAAAGAAAAGACACAGGTTATTGAAAACGAAAAAATTTCAATTGACAAAATTAGTTGGTATTCTTGACAGCAATTATATGACTTGAACAGCGGAACTTGTAAGAACAAGAAATTATGTTGTTTATAGGAATTAAAGAGAAATTATTATCACATAAAAACGAAGCAACTGAAACAATTGCATCGAAAGAAAGTTAATAAAAGTAAAAAAAATAACTATTAGCTTTTTTTTTTTTAAATTGATACCCTTAGCCTAATTGTTTTTATTTCATAAATTAACAAGTTTATATTTTTAATTTTTAATTTCTCCAGGCATCTTACCGATTTAAAAAACTGATGATCTAACGGAAAAAATTGATAATCCGGAATCTCCGAAGTCCCGCCGAGTCCGGGATTAATTAACGACTTTGACTGTATATTGCTTGGACTTATTGGTATTTTACTCATCAGCTGTTGCGAGGGGGGGAGGAAAGCGTAAACAGAGGTGGGCTCTAAATCGTTGGGGTGCAATGAAAAACATTCTCGTGTCTGATTTATATCCAATCCTTTTTTTATTCTATTTTCTTCTCTCAAATTACGTCTTTAGGGCTATGTGTGGAGTTCTTTTACGTTTTGCATTGCCTTCGGATATATTACGGTTTCTTCTCTTTTTATTTAGAAAAGCCTCACCTCCAGTCTTTTATGGCAGGAAGGTGCTATTTATCGGAGGAAGAATACCCTTGTATGGTTAGTGAACCATTTACTAATGCAAATGAGAGTCATGATTCATTTTCTAAAAAGTTAAAAAGTGATACTTTTTCTAAGAGTTAGAAAGTGATACTTCTCCGTGCTTCGAGATTTACCACAGTCTTCATTTTAAATTTTGTTACTTCTTACTGTAAATAGTCTTTATTGTGCTGTTTTATTAATTTTAAACTTTATTGATAGATTTTTATCATTTAAAACTTTGGAATAATTTGAAAAGCACTTCCGAAAATTATTTTACAAGATAAGCAATTTTTAAAGTATATGTTCATGTAAAATAAAGAAAAAAATGTTATTATGTACTAATTTTAACATATATAAGAGCTGAAGTAATAATCTAAAATGATACTAAAAATTACGATTTACGATGCTAGAAGTTAAACTTTTTTTTTTCTGATTTTGTTTATAAAATTAGGCTTGTAAGGCTAGATTTTTTTTTTTAAAAATTAGGCAATACATAACCTCCGTCCTATACGTTGTCTGCCTTTGATTCCCTTTCGTACCGCACGAGCGTCTTAAACAAAGGTGCGCTGTCGTGAAAAGGATAACAGTACAGCTATATTCTCTGTTTCTGGAAGGGGGGAAGTAGCTTGTGTTTTGTTATTTGGAGAATTCCACAGACTAATGAAAATAATATGGAATATTTCAAACCTAGCATAATTAAATGAACATATGTTTTAAAAGAAGATTGTAGAACCTGAGGGTATGATTGCAAAAGGATGGAAGATTGTTGTCATTTTGTTGACAGTTCAACTCCATAATTGTTTATCCCTTTACCCAATTAGTACAGTTAGTGCTGCATGTAAATTGTATGCATTAAGGATTCAAAGTGAGATAGTATATCTTTCTTGGGTTGTTTAATAGGCATTTTCTGAAAATCAGAAACCTAAGCCTTTACCTATGGGCTAGTTGTGGTTGTCACCTTAACCCACTGAATGGCCCACATTCAATTCTATTTTCATTCTGAAAACTGCAGTAATAAAGAACCATGTTTGCAAAAAAATTTTTCTTACCTGAAACTAAAAGGTTTCTGAAAAAGGCTATTGTAAGATTTCTTTCCCCTCTCCTTGTAAGGTGATCAACAAGTTTTTTCACTTAGTGCCTAGAAGTGATGAAGCAGATGGAGGCTTGCCTTACCGAGAAAGGATCAACTTTTGTATGCATGTTTTGGCCATAAGAAAAAGATGTTTTTTTTCTTTTTTTATGTTTGGAAATCCAAAAACAGAAAAGGGAGGTCCCTATTGCCTTACTACTAGTTTTGCATATTTCTTATTTTAATTATCAAGTAAAAATTTTATTGATTTTTATTGTGTTTGGGTACATTAATGTACGTTTATAGAATGTTAATTTGTTGAAAATGCTTAATAAAAAGTCCTTCAAAAATTAATATTAGTGCAGTGAAAATATCTTAAATGGCATGCTAATAAAAGTTTTGGTAAAAATATATTTACA